TGCGTGATCACTAATAGTACATACAAAAGCAAAGCTAAGCAGAGAGGACCTGGTCTTGTGCCCGGGAAAGATGCCAATGGGAACAGCAGGACCAGGGTTGGCAAGGGAGGGGCTGGGGACAAGCATTGCTCAGTTCGAACACAACCCTGCATGCTAGCTGTGTAGCCCACTTGATCTAAGTTACATCTCCACGTGCTTAAAGGATAAATCACAGCCAGCATGGTGGCACACGCCTGTCATCCCAGCACGAGGAGGCTGAAACAGGAGGGTTGGGTGAGCTTGGGCTATACAGGGAGACCCTATCTCAAAAAAGAAAAAAGTGAGTGAGGAAAAGAGAGACAGAGACAGCGAACCTGGGAGGCAGAGCCAGGGTAAGAAGCAGAAAGCACATGCAGGTCCCACAGTGACACATGCTGATTGGCCCGGTGCCACCAGCAATGCCATGGAGAAGGGCCCCACGGGAACAGTGTGCAAGGCGTCAGCCTGGCCCGGTGTGCATTGGACTCCCACCTTGCTGCCCACAGTGTGAACCCAGGGCTCAGAATTCCTCCTGCAGTCCTTCCTGTAAGCATCTACCTACCTGACGTCCCTCCCTCCCTCCTATCTATTTATCTGTCTGTCTATCATCTACCTATCTCTCTATCTATCTGGTATTCTGAGACAGGGATGTGCTATTAGCTCAAGCTGGCCTTGATCTCACAGGGATCTTCCTGCCTCAGCCTCCAAAGTGCTGGAATACATGCATGGCTTGTTAACACTTACTTGGAACCTAGGATGTCCTAGGCCCTTGAACCCAGCGGCAGCTCTCACAAAGACCCCTGTTCCTGCCGCTTACACCCCAGGGGAAGGAACAAGGGCAAATAGACATGAATATGTAAATAATGTGGGCTGAGGAGGAAAACAAAGTGTAAGGAAGATGGAGAGTAGTCAGGCGTGGTGGTGCACACCTTAATCCCAAGAATCAAGAGGCTGAGGCAGGAGAATCGCCACGAGTTCTAGGTCAGCCTGGGCTCCATAGTGAGTTCAAAGCCATTTGGGACTACATATCAAGACTGTCTCAAAAAGAAAAACAAGATTTAAAAATATTAAGGGCTGGGAAGCTAGTCGTAGTGGCACATACCTGTAATCTCAGTGCTCTTGGAGGCTGAGGCAGGAGGATTGGAAATTCCAGCTCACCCTGGGCAGCCAAACTTCCGGACGGTGTCCACAACAGCTGGTTATGGGAGATTGGTGGCCACACAACTTTAGCAGGAGCGAGGTGGAGCCAGAGAGGAACACAGGCACTCAAGAGATTTCCAGAACGAGGTATGGGAGGCCTGGGCCAGTGGGTGGAGGTCACGAGCAGGGCTCCAGCAGGAGGAGGGGCAGGATCCCACTAAGGCCCAGCTCCGGGGCTGAGGCTTGGACAGTGTAGGACACAGGGACGAGCAGGGACACCTTGGGAAGTGTGGCCTAGGCAGTGACCTCAGAGTGGGGTGAGGCTGGCTCTGCTCTGGGGCTCCAGGTTCATTTTTTGGGTTTTGTGTGTTTTTTTTGGTGCCGGGAATCGAACTCAGAACCTTGCACTTGCCAGGCAGGCACTTGTGCTGCGGAGCTATATCACTAGCCCTGGGGCTCCAGGTTCAAATCCTGAAGGCCCAAGGTGCACAGCCCTGGTCCAGCACCATGTCTCCCCGCTGCACCCCAAACCCTCAGCCCTTGGTGCCCAGTCTCTTACTTGACATGGAGCATCCCCCACACCCCACACCCGTGCACCTGCTGTCCCAGTCCTGCCCGCTCCCTAGGTGCCGCAGTCCCCAGGGTCCCCCCCACCCCCAGGGGCTTGTCGTCCGTTTGTTGGAAGAGCAAACAGCAGAACACAAAAGAGCGCAGGGCAGGGGCTTCTGTGCCTTCTACGGTGAAGGCTGACCCCAGCTGATTGAGGCAGGACAGGAAGGTGCTGGCAGAGAGGGTCGCGTTCTTCTCTGAGGTGTGGTGGGCACCTGGCTGGATCCTCTCCTCAGCCATCACTTGTGCGGGGCTTGGTGGTGCACACCCGAGTCCTAGTGCTCTCGAGGATGAGGCAGGAGGGTCATACGTTCAAGGTCACCTGTGCTACATAGTGTGAACCTGTCCCAAACAAGACAATAGAACAAAACCAAAGCACGCAAAAAGCTGGGCATGGTGGTACATGCCTGTAATCCCAGCACTGGGGAGGCTGAGGCAGGAGGATCATTACAAGTTCAAGACCAGCCTGGGCTACAAAATGAGCTCAAGGCCAGCCTGAACTGAACAGGGAGACCCTGTCTCAAAAAGACAAAAACCAAAACAAAACACAGCATGCATTTTTTGCGGGGGTTAGCTCAGTGGTAGAGTTCTTTAATCTACTTATATTTGTTTATTTATTTACTTTTGCTTTTTTGTTGTTGTTGTCATTTTGAGACAGGGTCTCCCTGTGCAGTTTACGCTGGCCTTGAGCTCACTTTGTAGCCCTGGTTGGTCTTGAACTCACAGTGGTCCTTCTGCCTGAGCCTCCTGAGTGCTGGGATTACAGGCCTGCACCACCATGCCCACCTGCTTTTTTTTTTTGAGACAGGGTCTCGGTGCATCATTGGGGCTGGACTTGAACTCATTATGGAGCATAGGCTGGCCCCAAACTCCTGGTGAGCTTCCTGCCTCAGCTTCCTGAGTGCTGAGATTACAGGCATGTGCCACCTAGCCTGGCTATTTTTTTAATTGTGTATGTGTGCAGCTTGGCAGGATCCCAGCCCTCCTGGGAGCCGGTGCGTGGGCACAGAACAGGTCTACATTCTCTTCCCGACCCTGTCCCTTACCTCCCTCCATCTTCCAGCCTCTTCCCAATGGCATAGTCTTATGTCCACTACGGGAGATCTCTTTTTTTTTTTTTTTTTGTGGTACCGGGAATCGAACTCAGGACCTTGCGCTTGCCAGGCAGGTGTTTGTGCTGCTCAGCTATATCCCTGGCCCACTGCGGGAGATCCTGGGTCCATCTCTACCACTGCAAAATAAGTACATAACTAATAAGAGGAAGTGTTTAGAACTATTTTTGTTTATGTTTTGACACAGGGTCTTGCTATGTAGTCCAGGTTGGCCTTGAACTCATTCTGTAGCCCAGGTTGGCCTCAGACTCATAGCAATCCTCCTGCCTCAGCCTCCTGAGTGCTGGAATTACAGGTGTGCACCACTACACCCGGTTTGAACTATTTTTTAAACAGCACATGAATGCTATTAAGCAGCAAAATCACACACTTTCTCTCTCTCTCTCTCTCTCTCTCTCTCTCTCTCTCCTCCTGTCCCTAGCTTCCTCCCCTTCTTTTTGGCGAGTCCAGCACCCCCTCTGGTACCCGGCCAGATGCTTGTTCGTCCTCTGACTTGCAGCTTCTGGGGCTGTCCTCACAGCGCTGTCCCTGACCGCCCACATCCTCCACCAGGCTCTGTCAGCACCACTGACCTCTCCCCTGCGGCCACACCCCTCCTCCTGGGTGCCCCGGAGCCCACTCAGTCTGGGCCCTTCCTTCATTTCTGGCTCCAGCTTCTCACTGTGGGGTCTGGGCTCCTAACTCTCCTCCACGTCGCCATCTGGCATGGCCTTGGCATGACCTCACTGCTCCACGTTTCAAGTTCCACTGCTCCTCTCTGTGGCAGCACTCAAGGTGCCCAGATCCTCCTTTCAGAGCAGTGGAGTCGGTGAGAGGGGCAGAGAGTGTCACTTACGCCTCACAGTCTTTTTATCACTGTTTTCAGAAGGCTCAGTACGTAGTGCTGTACGCCCAGCTCGAAGAACATTTAATGCAATAACGGGGCATGATGACACGCCCATAATCTCAGCACTCGGGAGGCTGAGGCAGGAGGATCCCTGAGTTCAAGTCCAGCCTGGGCTACCTACCAAGACCGTGTCTCAAAAACAAAATGAAGTAAAAAACAAACAAGAGACATCAAAGTTCCCTCCATTCCTCCTCTGGCCATGCACAGCACCAGTTCACTTGCTACAAGGCACAACTTGAACACACACACCCGTGGTTCCTAACGCTGGGCCTTTGAAATTACAGTCCTTCTCCCTGACCCCCATACAGTTACTTCCTTCCCGCCAGCATCACACGCTCGTGATGAAAACGCAGCCTTCATTTTATTTTTTTTCCTTGAGACAGCGTCTCACCTATATAGCCCAGACTGGCCTGTAACTCACAGGGATCCTCCTGCCTCAGCCTCCTGAGTGCTGGGATGACAGGTGTGCACCACCACACCTGGCTCCGCAGCCCTGCTCCTGGGTGGAAGTTACTTCTCTGTGCCTATCACCTGCCAGCCCCGTGCTGTCTGCGCCGCCTGTGTTACCCATGACTCAGAGAAGCCTTTGGAAAGACTGCACGGCGCAGCTTGGGCTGCAGGGCAGACCCAAGGCAGGACTGGCAGAAAGGACAGGGCAGAGTGTGTGAGTCATCTGTCATCCCCAGCCCGAAACTTCCCTGGGGCAGTCATCGACCGACACCATGTCAGCTCCAAGGGACTTTCAAGATCTGTCACCCAACCAAGCTCAGCAGGAGGGTTTACCCACGGCCACACAGCTGGCTGGAGGCAGGGCTGGGAGGAGATTCCAGGTCTGGCGGAGCGAGGGCTGAGGACTCCCGCTGTTTCTCTCTCTTTAAATTTTTAAAATGTTTATTGGTGCACATTTGTAATACGGAACGGTTCCGTTCATCACGGGAGCGGCCAGTGTACACCACATCCCAGGCTGGCCCATCTCATTTTCCTGGAGGAAGGCCCAGCTGCCCCAGCGTCAAGGCAACTACTGTACTTGGCTTTGTTCCTTTGTTTTTCTCTTTTTGAGACAGAGTCTCACTGTGCAGTTCAGGCTGGCCTTGAGCTCACTTTGTAGCCCAGGCTGGTCTTGAACTTGCAATAATCCTTCTGCCTCCGCCTCCCGAGGGCTGGGATTACAGGTGTGCACCACCACGCCCGGCTTATGACAGGGTTTTAAACTCACTTTGTAGTGCAGGCTGGCCCTGAACTAGTAGTGATTCTCCTGCCTCAGCCTCCCAAGTGCCAGGACGGCAGGTGTGCCACTGTGCCCGGCTTGTACTTGGATTTGGACTCACTCTTCTTTGTTCACACTCAGGGATCCTCCTGCCTCAGCCTCTTAGGCGCTGGGATTACAGGCGTGCACTGCCACATCCTGCTGCTCACAGCTCTTGAAGCTTCCTCTGAGACCTGGCAGGCTGCAGTTGCCAAAGCAGAGGGGAGGAAGAGACTCCATTATCCCCATTTTACAGCTTGGCCAACCAAGGCTGCTAGCTAAAGGCAGAGGCAGGAGCTGAAACTCAGCGCTGTGCTTCCTGTTAAATCTGTGAAAAGCCAGAACTCCCACAAGTGCAGCCTGGCCACACCCCCACCCCCACCTGCCGGGGAGTCCCCTCACGCCCGCCAGTTCCTTTTTGCATCAGGCTCCCTGCTTCTCGCCCAGGGCGTCGACCGTGGAAAGAACCAGTCCACCCACCCTACGAGCCCATCTCCTCCGTAACCTTTCCGGGGAAAGCACCCTTCCCTGTGCCGGGCATTCGGCGGGCAACTTCCTCCCATGAACCCTGAGCCGGCACTGAGTCGGCACACGGGGAAACAGTTCCAATAAGTCACCGTCACAGCCAGCAAGTGGCCGGGCTGGGACTGGAATCTGTCTGTCTGATTCTGGCGCACCCGCCCCACCATTTTCTTTCTTTTTATTGGTTTTTTGAGACAGGGTCTCGCTCTGTAGTTCAAACTGGCCTTGAACTCGCAGTGACCCGCCTGCTTCAGCCTCCCGAGGGCTGGAATGACAGGCAGCCCGCGTGCTAGTGCATCACACTGGATCTCCCATTCGAAGCCTCTGGCTGGCTGGGGTACCCCGGGAAGGAGCTTAACCCCGCCGTGCGCCCCAAGGTCAGAAGCTTTGCGGGGGCGCAGAGCAGAATAAGGCGTGCGAGGGCGCCGAAAAGGAATCCAAACGCGCGCGCCCGGGCCGGCTTTTCTTGGAGCCCTGGAGGAATGGACAAGGGCAGAGGTCGCACACTCTGTCCCCGGGACCTGGCCAAACCTAGCGCGGAGATGCCTTGCAGAAACGAAAGCACGGCGCCCCACAGCCTCCCCCGCGCGGTTCCGGGAACCGGCCGGCGGGACTTCGCGGAAACGCGCGCAGCGTGCCGGGACCGTCCCACCCGCAGGCGCAGCCTCGGCCCGCAGCGCTGCGCGCAGCGCACA